GGCAGCCTGAGTTAAATGAACCAAGTGTACCTACCTCTCAAAAAGTCTACTTACCCAACCCAGGCTTGCAGCTCACAAGTGAACCTGTGGGGGCAGGACTGACTGGATTACTGGCTTTTCTCAGGCCTCACAAAGTTTCTGCCTCTGATGGGAGGCAAACTTACGACTTTGCTATCACTGCCAATTAGTGGGAAATATCTGCACTTGCTTACCTCTTTTGGCAGGCTCCCAGCTTACAGAAGTGCCAGCCTTTACAGGTTTTGCTGAAGCACAAAAAGGTTTCTGGGCATGCCCACTAACCATCAGCGTTCGTCAGCGTACGAACCAGTCTTTGTGGTAACGAAGGAAGCCCCACTGCCGTCCTTTCACAGGGACTGGTGTGAATTTTAACTACTGTTCTCTTCCCTAATTTTAAAAATAAACTTTAAGTCCCTAAAAAATAAACTTCAATAAAGTACTAGTAAATTATAATTATTAAATCAGCTCAGAGTAAGCCTGGGGGGAGACTGACTCTTGAGAATTAGCATCTTAAGCTAAGAAATTTAGGACATTTAACCAAAACTCGATGTGGTGAATCATTTGGATCCAGGTCCACACTAAGTGGGGGCAAAGCAACCATTTCCTACCCCACCACAGCCATAACCCTCAAAGTGAAGGGAGTGGCCAGAAGCCAATCAAAGCATGAATTGGGTAAGTGCTGAAAGAAAGAGTAGACAAAGTTAAAGAAGCAATAGAAGGGACGACAAATACAGGGAAAGGCCAGTTTCCCTAAATGATACACACACACACACACACACACACAGAGAGAAATATACCCTTTTTGTAAATTCAACTACAGCTAATGTCAACACTGAAATGACGTAAGCAAGTTAACACCTGGCTAATGAGAAATCTTATGAATACTGAAGTCTAAACAAACACTCTAACCCCTAATGTAGAAATAAAATTCATGACACTTCACAATATGTAACGCCAAGTCAGGGTTAACAGGCTGGGTTTCGTGAGGAGTGCCACGATCTCTATGGGGATTAAGCCCTGACAGTCAAGATGCTTCAAGATCAAGAACCCAGGAATGACTCCAAGTCTACAGATTTAAATACTGTTTGTGACCGACCTGCCACGTCTGAACCACCCAGACAGCACTCCTCAGAACCTCAGTGAGGGTATCGTTTCTCAGAGAAACGCCGTCCTGACAAGCCTCACTGTCTACAGGAAGGGTTCTGTGCACATCTTCCAGCCCAAACCTAGGGAATGGTGGCAGAATCACGACTAGACGGCATGTGGTACTACTTTCCAGTTGCCATGGCACAGATGAAAATGAGACATGAGCGGGAAAGTATAGGCAAAGGAAATCAAGTAAGCCTACTAACACTGCCAGGTGGGGATGCTGGAGGACCTCACCTTGAGAACTAAAAAGGGCTGATCAATTCCACTCAGAGAAAGATGAGGCTGTCTGCTTCCCTAAAGACTTCCGTCTTGAAAACCCTGCCTAGGAGTCAAAACTGACCCTATGGCAGCAAGACTCTAGAGTGAAGAATGGAAACATCCCCTGAACAACATTAAATGATGTTCAAAGAGAGAGGGGCAAGATCCAAGCATCCAGCATAAGGAGGGGCTGAGACTTACAGACGCTAACTGGCCTTTCCTTGTCCTCAGGTCATGGTCAGAGGGAGCCCCCAAAAGATCCAATCCATCCCTACAAACTTCTTAAATTAACATCGTTAAGGGCAATGGCTCTCAAGACCCGGGCAGCCTGTGTGTATCCTAAGACAATGGATCCTTTGAGGCGTATGAAAAGGAAGCACTGAGAGACTTGTGAATTTAAGTTCCAGCACAACAACGCTTCTCTAACTAAAAGAGTGAAAACCCTTTGCAGAAAAGACTGCCTGGAGAAGAAAAAACCGCGTCATTTTGAAATCAATTTACTATCTACCTTAAGTGGGCAGGACAAGGCATCGCACTAGATGGAAAGGAAAACTGGCAGTCCAACAAAAGACTGAGTAATGATTCTGCGTACCAGAGTAATAGCTCTCTATCAGATCTTGAGGCGAAGTTGCCTATAAGGACAAAAATCGAGAACTGGGGAATATCATTAACAGCTGATAGTTATATTTTCCACCTTTGAAGATAAGGGTCCTCTCACCTCATCCTGACTTTCAACTATCTGAGTCACTACCAGTCAACTCTGTACCTTAACTTGAGCTAACATAAAAATACATACATGTTAATGTACGGAGAGCAATGCCATCATTGAGGATCGTTTAAAGAACGAACATTCTGCTAGTTTAAGATAAGACCGTGTACCATTCCAGGAACAGTCCTTCTAATGAAATCTAGACTGATGACTGGTACCCCAAAATGCAGCTACAATCAGCAATTCACACACTTATATTCAAGCACATTATCTATTCCTGGGAAGCAAGAAAGAGCACAAGCTTCAGAGACTTCAGTCTAAATAATGTGTTTATGATGGCAAGAAGAAACCACCCTAATGAGTATGCTAATAACCATTCCTTATTTACAGACATTTAGTCTTCTACGCTTGACCTACTGCTATATACACACAGACACAAGATGTACTTTATGCATCTTTCAAGACAACAACAAGGAGATGGTGGAAGAACACTCTAAACTGTAAATATGAAATACAGGGACAGAAAGTCCACAAACATGGCCCCATTTCATTTGAGCTGCAAACAGAAAGGGCAGGAAGGCTGTCCAGCCAATGCACCCATTCCGAGTGCTGTGTTACCCAACAATGTGCTCAGCATCAAAACCAATTCTAATTGCTACAACTTAATGCCAACCTGGAAAAACCCAAGGTACTATGGTTTATTTCCCAATACCAAAAGGATGTTTCAAGGGAAGAATAGTTTTAAGGGGCAAATCACGAGTCATCGGAAACCGTGGCCATGCCTGCCACAGCCTCAGCCTCCACATGAGAAAGAATAGCTCCTATCTAGTTGACCCCCAGGCCAGAACTTCAAAAATGAAAGTGGGGAAAGGATAAAGAACTTGTTCTTTTTTAAAACAAGGCACTCTAAGCTCTCCAAAATACATGCTATCCATACATAATGGTTTTCATCTACAGACTATCAGAAAGCATCCTGGAGATGGGAAGACATTATGCTACCTGATAATTTCTAAAATCAACTTTGGACTAATCAAGTCCATTAAAACGAATCAAGTTTACAAACTACAAAAATTTTAAAGTCATCAGGACTCTGTTTGGTTAAAAATCTACAAAAGTAGATAAAAAAGTAATAATTTTCTTAAGGAATACAAGCTTAATCAAGTTCATGCAATTTTTAAAAAGTATCAGCGATTAAAGAAATGAAAGTAGATACACAATTAGCTTCTTCATACTGCCTGGAGGATGAAGGACAGTAGTCATATGGACGGAGAACTACACAATTGGCAGAGCTCTTCTCTAGCATCTTTCCTACCTGGTCCTCCGTGCAGAGGAACAGAATCCTTCACCTGTGAAAAATGCATTCCCATCCATGGAAGCAGCAAGTGAGTACCATGTCATGTTGAGGGAGGAGGACCTATGCATCCACAAATCCTGTAACGTCCCACTTCTATGCCCCGAGACTTTTGCTCACGGCCGCTTCTTGATCATGCTCTCCATTCTGCAGAAAGCCCAGGCAGACACTACGCTTTCCCACTGCTGATGCTCAGTTTCCACGTGGAGAACTCCTTGTTCCCTGTAACACTTTTGAAATGAAAACGTGGAGGCCATGTACAGAACCAAGACGCTGGGGCGGGGGGTGTCACGAAAAACGATTTTATCAAGGGTACAATATAATCTTAACAAATTTTTCCCTCTAAAAGGTCAACTTCAACACACCAACCATGATCTAATCAAGTAGGACAGCCTAGCACAAAGGCAGTGTCAACTGGGCTTATGTCTCTGCACATATCTCAGAACTGGAGAAGCACCTGGCTGATCGGGGTTATCTCACCAAGTGGCAGGAAAAAGCTGGAGAATCAGTGGCATATGAGTAACCACCTGGCCAGTGTAAATTATCAAATAATGCTTCGGGGCGACTAATGTCCAGACAATGCACACAGCCTTAATTTGGTCGTGAGGATCATCGGCAATGTTTACTTCGCTTTCTCCCCAATTATCTCATAAGGATACAATCATGACATATAACTTCATATGCTTTACTGTAGTTAAAGGAAGACAGACAGAAAGGGGGGAAAATAAAAAACCCAAACCTGGAATAAAGTTTTCTAAAAAATCCTAGAGCCTGGTGGTACAGAACAGCTAGAGCTAGAGGAAAACATTCTTCCTTTCTTTTGGCAATCAGAACCCATAGACTCGGGCCAACAAAACGGACCTGGCACACAAACGAACTTGTATGGAATTAAGTACCACACAAGTGCATCATGTCATTTTCTGCACATATTCGACTGTACACTATTTAAAAAGCAGACTGAAATGGTAGTTGAGATCACCGAGGCAGAAAAAAATAGTAATAAAACTGAAATAAGGGAGGGTCCCCTACTCCAGGACTGGAAGATGCAGGGAGACTTGGCAGTGCAGACAATGTCCCTATTCACGGTGCCCTAATGCACCCTGCTCTAAGCACTCTGCTGTAACAGTTGGTCTCTCCTTACTTTGGTATAGACATTTTTAAACCACATGTGCACAATTCAGTCTGCTAAACAAGCTTTTCTTCATTTACATCGAAGATTTACTTTCATCCACCTCGGCAAGTCTTGCAAATAGATGGTCTACTGCTAAGTAAAATTTGGCTACAGCCTACAGAGTAAACAATGCCTGAGAGATGCAACAGTTCACATTTTTTTTTTTCCAAGACCAGTATTTTAAGTTAGCGTCTCACCGTATACCCTTAAAAGTTCATACCCATCGCTGGGGAGTCGGTTCCAACTCACAGCAACTCCAAAGGACAGAGTAGAACTGCCCCAAAGGCTGTAAGTCCTTATGGAAGCAGACTGCCACGTCTTTCCCCACAGAGCAGGTGGGAGATTCGAACTGCTGACTTCTTGGGTTAGCAGCTGAGCATTTAACCACTGCGCCACCTGGGCTCCTTTAAAAGTTTATAAGGAGAAATAAACGAACATGAAAATTCCAAGAGAGCACACAGCAAAAAGTCCAATATTGAGTATTAGTTTAACTTTTGGAGTCTCTTCCAGCATCTGTAAACAAACAGCCTCTTCTTCCATCAGGTCTCTGAGACTCTGCTTACTGAGGTTCTTACTTTTAAAGCCACAGAACCAGTCTATGAACTTCCAGGACCGGCTTCCATCTTCTGGTTCTTTCTTTCTCTCTTTCTCACCCATGAGAGTTGCTTGCCCATTGGAGTAAGTATCGACTGGTGTTTCTGCCTCAGAGTGGCCCGAGGAAGCCACTGGGTTGCCCTCCTCTCCGCAGGTCACCAGCAGATTCACATCCTCAGGCTGGAGGCCCTTGATGCTGTCTTCTGACTTCCCGTTAGGAACGATGTGGTTGATGGTCTCACTATTCTCGTTACACCGCAGAATGCTCTTCTCTTGCAATCTGTATGGCTCATCTCTCGGAGAGCAGCTCTCCTTTACCTGGTTCTTCTTGGACCAAAAGGTGGTGGTCCGAATCTGTTCCTTCTTGGGAGGTGGTGTGAGTAGGCTTACAATTACGGTAATGAGTCCTGTGACCCAGAACAGTGCTGTGGCCACATACATGTAATGTATGTCTTTGATGAAGCTTGGTCTGTTGTCAGGCTGGTCACACTCAGGGGCACGGTAGACAAAGGCCAGTGTCAAACGGACTGCTCCGAGAACAAAGCCAGCCATTCCACCATAGAAAGCCCCTTGTTCATTGCAGCGCTTCCAAAAAATGGCCAGAAGGAACAGGGCCGCGACTGGGGGCGTCAGGTAATCAGCTACCTCTTGAATGTAAAGGTACATCTGGCCTCCTTGCATCTCCACGATGATTGGTACCCATGCGATACTGATCACCACCATAAAGGCCACAAATATCCTCCCCACAATCATTAGTTCCCGGGAGCTGGCACTCTTTCGGATGAGTTTGTACACGTCAAGGGTGAATATGGTGCTGGCACTGTTAAAGATAGAGTCCAAGTCACTCATCAGAGCAGCAATCATCACCGCCATCATGAGGCCCCGGAGGCCCACGGGAACCAGCTCCATCACCAGGCGTGGGTAGGCAATATTGGAGCAGCCAGCTCTGCTTCCACACACTAGCATGCAGTGCTCTGGGTTGATGCAAGCTATATCATTAGCAAACAGTATCCTAGAAATCATTCCTGGGACCACTATGATGAACATTGGCAGAAGCTTCAAGAAGCCAGCCATCAGAGTAGAGCCTTTGGCATGAGCGATGTTTTTGGCTGCTAACACCCTCTGCACAATGACTTGGTCAGCACACCAGTACCACACTGAAGCCGGGGTCTGCCCAAGAATGAAGCCAGGCCACGGAACGTCTTCATCTGTTGGGCTGCGCAACATTTTCAGGGCATTTTCTTTCGGTTGGACGTGACAGGAATTTGTGTTAGAGAGGTTGTACCTCAACAAGATGGAAGAGACATTGGGCGAGGTCAACATGTACCTTCTCTTCACCTCCTCAAACCCGCCAATCTGCATCATGCTGATAACCATCAGGGTCAGTGCCCCGATGATCATGAGCAGAGCCTGTAGCGTGTCTGTGTAGATGACTGCAACAAGGCCGCCCGTGACCGTCAGCAGGGCCGTCATCCCAATGAGCAGGATGACAGACACGTAAAGGTTCCAACCCAAGGACTCCTGGATAAAGAGGGCACCTGAATACAGATCCACGGAGAGCTTGGTGAAGATATACAGGAGCAGAGACAAGGCAGCAAAATACACTTGAATCCTATGGCCACCAAATCGCCTGGATAAGTATTCAGGCATGGTGTATACCCCCGACCGGATGTAAATGGGTATAAAAACCCATCCCAGAAGTTGCAAAAGCAGTAAGGCATTGAATTCCCATGCGCCCACTGCAAATCCACTTGCAGCTCCAGATCCTGCCAGCCCAATGAAGTGTTCACTCCCGATATTGCTCACAAACAGAGAGGCACCAATTGCTACCCAGGACATAGAGCGCCCGGCGAGAAAGTATCCACTCACGGTGCTTCTATTAGATTTCCACATGGCAAAAAAGCCAATGCACATGACCAGGATAAAGTACAGGGCCACTATGGCAATGTCTGCTGTCTCCAGTAAAGCCCTCATTTCAGTAACTTTGTGAATACAAGCTTCCAGTGACAGAAGTGTCCGACTCTTTATTTACGTATTAGTACCCCAGGCAAGTCTGTAAACCACACGTGCACTTGACCACACAGAGCAACACAGGAGGTCAAAGTCTTTGTCCTTTGGTTTGCTGTCTTGATGGTGGTGGTTGTGATAAACTTTGAAGGAGACAGTTTAAATTTTTCCTCCGCTTCTTAATTGGGATTGAGAATTTAGCTTGTACTTTTAATCCACTCTCCACAAGACCATCAGCATTTACTCAGGTGCTGGAGGAGAAATTCTGAGTTGCAGCTAAGTCTAGTGAAGCCTACTGTACCAACCCTGCAAGGCAGCAAAGACAAAAGACAAAGATTGAATTAGAGGAGGGTCCCACCAGGTGATGAGGAAACTTTCAGTCTAGCAAACACATGGCACAACATGACATTCTTTATACAAAGAAAACAGACACTTTTAAAATACACCGGTTCCACAGAAAGGGAAAAAAGAGTGGTCTATGCTATTGCAGCTGATACTTAAAAGTCAGTAAGAATTTATGATCTTGAATTAAGGACAAAAATTCATGAGCTTCGTAACGAGGTGGGCCTCACTTCCCTAGGAACTAAGAATGGCCTGCCAGAACACTGCCTTTTCCTTCTTTACGGGGTGGTCTCAGAAGGGTAACCAGCACCAAGATCCTGAAAGCACCTGGAATGCTTCAGAGGGAAAAACAAACAGTTAATTGTAAGTGCATCACCACCAATCTTCCAAGCACTACACATCTCAAGACGGTACCTTCTTCGGTCCCGATACCACAGGCAGTGATGTTTGTAAGGTGCTATCATCTAAACCCAGAGTCTTCAACACAGATTACCCAGCACAGCGCAGCCTATGCAGTGCAACTGCTGGAAACCTGTTCTAAAGTATCACTGCAAATGAACATCTGTAATAAAAACAACCTAGAGCTTGTAAAAGGACTCCTACCTTTGAAGGGAAACAAGACATTTTATACTAGAAACTTACAACTTACAAAAACAGCCCTAAAATTTATTCTTTCTTCCGGCTGTTAGGAAACTACTGGAAGGAGATAAAAAGGACTTTCACAAGATGTGTAATTTTCTTCCTTTTGATGAGGCAAAACATATCCAAGAAAGCTTCTGAGACGATAAGGCACTGACTCAAGGTTGAATATTGTTGAGTCTTTTTTCCTTGTAACACTTTTTTGTTGGAGGGGAGGAAGGATTGATAGGCTGCGAGATAATGTGATTATTATTGTTATCTTCCAAACCTAGACAAAACAGACATTCGTCAACCATTAGCGACAAGTCACATTATTAGCAAGTCAGTGACAGTTTATTTTTAAGTCCTGGATTAACAATCATTCTGCAAAGCAGACATTAAAATTTATCTAAAATCAGAGTTAGAATTTGATGGTTTTCTCCTGGAAAAGAGACAAATTCTAAAATTTTAAAGCACATATTCATTGCTGCTAGATAACCGATCAGAATGAAAACCATTATTACTCAGCCCAATGTCATCCACCAGTTAAAAGTCTATCTGCTTTCTTCACTTGGAACCTCAGAGTAAAACAGCTTTCAATGCTTGAAAAAGAAGTTGCTTTGGGTCGAAGCAAGGCATTTTCCTTTAAATGATACAAAAGTCATCTCTGTCCAAATAAACCACAGTACTCAAAAGTACAACCTAAACCCCACTGGCGAAACAGAGATAAAGCATGACAATAATAACGCTAAGAAAATGTGTTCAAATCCTTCCGCCTCTCAATAACGACGACGGGCATAAATGAAACTGCCAGACAAAAGCACAAATACACTACAAGTTGGGAGATGTAGCTACCCATATCCTAAAACACTGGTCACAATTCTATGCTCAGGGTGTAACTTTAGTTTAAAGGGCTCACTAATCACATAACTCACGGACGTTAGTTAAAAGGAGACCTTGAATGTCTCAGTGACGTTACACAGTTATCGGTAGTTCTGAAATTCCACCTGCACCAGAGCTCGGTTCTCCCTGCCACCCAGCGACCAAGCCAGGCCCTACCACGCACGCCCCTGACAGGCCCTAGCTCACTGGTTGCAAAGGTCTTATCAGATATTGGCCTTTTCAGTTGCAGCAGCTATGTTTTTTCCGCAGAAAAGCAGGCAGGCTTCGGAGGTGGTTTTTTTGCTTTTCTTGAGAGAGGGAGGGAGGAGGTGTTGTGGTTCTACAACAGCTTATCTGTTCGGGGAATAAACTGCTCAGAGAAAAAGGCCTATTTTCTCCTTCCCCATCATTAGGAAGCACTGCTATCAGGCTTTCCTACCACAGCTTTTCACCATCAAGTAAGTTCATGAGGAAGTGCAATCCACAGGTGACAAAAAGTTTCCATGAACTTGGAAACCCCACCCCCTTCACCTTAATATAATTTACTCAAGGCCCCTCTCTCCAGGCCATATTGCGCTCCCTTTTGAATGCTAAGACTGGTTACGATCCCTATTCCAAGTGTAATGTGTAACTCCCCAGAAAGGTGAAGACATGTCCTGACAAGAAAAGTGGGAGAGGGGAGCAAGAGCAAGTACTCGCTCAAGGTCGAGGCTCACGCTTTCTGTTTATGCCTCCTCAGGCCTCCGCCCCTTCCAATGGCAAACTGGCTGTCTCCTCAAAGTCTTGTAGACAGATTGACATTTTTCTAATTTAACTTTTTAAAATGCAGGGACCAGTTCCTGGTAAAGAATGAAAAATGGAAAACAAACTAAAATTAAAAGCAAGTCAACTTAGCGTGTAGAATGATATAAAATATTACAATGCAACGAGGTCAAATTTCATACTCTAGCCACAAAGAGAGCCACATAGTCTCCAGCCTTTTCAGAAGACGAGGAGCACATGAACTAGAAACGGTCCTAAGTACACTAGCTACTCTTTGGCTGTTGTATCCCTTCTAAAGTGGTAAACATTTCTACAACAAAACACAGTCAGCATTGTCCAAGGTTCCTTTATTTGTAAAGGAGAACAGACATGGACAAAAACTTCTCTTCATAAAGTGAAGCTTGTCAAACTCTATTTCTGTATTTGTAGGACTCAATTGGTTTACAGTTCCAGGAAGCTGTGTAGGTAAGAAATGTGGGACAAAGTCTGAAGTGGTCACAGCCGTGAACATCTGGACATTGGTCCCTTGGTGGCACATTCTTAAAGAAAACAACTGGTCCCAAAATGAGGGGGGGTTCTTGGAAGCAGCAGTCCTCTCGCGTGCTGGGCAGACTCAGCCAAACCTCAACCACACGGGTGTTCTGAAGCCCAGGGGACTTTCTCCAAAGAGGAAACTTTATTCTTAGAAAGGTATGCTTTATTGATAGTTTAAAACCAGAACCACAATACAATTTTGGCAATTTAATGTATTTGGATGAAATTAATTATGACTATAAAAAATTACCCCAAATGTAAAAGTGTACAAAAGCATTTGCTGCATTTTATCACCTGGAAAGCAGGAGAAGAAGAAAAAAACTGACCACACCAACGGTCTATTTAGCTTTGGAATTGGTTTCAAAACCAAACACTCCAGAAACCATTTCACCAGGCCAAGCCCAGCACTCTATCAAGGGTGGGCCTGACCAACTCCAAACTCACTGCTATCGAATCAATTCCAACATATAGAGGCCCTGTAAGGAGAGGGGAGAGCTGGGTTTCTAAGACTGCAACTCTTTACAGGAGTAGAGTTGTCCTTCTCCCACAGAAGGGTAGTTTTGAACTGCTGACCTTGCAGTTAGTAGCCAAGGGGTAACCACTAAGCCGCCAAGGCTCCAGTCTTCCTCATATTCTGATATAATTAAAAACATCCACTTTAAGCAGCAAGATGGGTTATAGAATACGCAAACACTTCTGTAACTCAACAAAACCAAAAAATTATGGCATTACCAAGACTTCGTTTTCTCTCAACCCTACCCTGTCAACACAGCAGTAAGGTGTCTAGTAAGCTTTGGACCGCTACCTACAAGTTTGGCAGTTCAAACCTACCAGCAGCTCTGAAGGAGAAAGAGGAGGCTGCCTACTTCCATAAAGATTTACACCCTCAGAAACCCTAAATACAGACACTCTGAGTGGGAATTCAATAGCAGGAGGTTTGGTTTGGTTTGGTTTTTAAAGACCAAAAAAACCCTAAATGAAGGTGAAATCTACTTACAGACTTTCGGAAAGTTTTTCACGTTTGTCATCTTGATTCAAAGTCAAAAAATGCAAATCCAACCAACAAAGTATATTAATGGTGCTTAACAAAATATATACATATTTGTATAGAATATTCCTCAAACCCTGCTTACTTTAAAAACATAACAGCAGTAATTTATGAATGAAACTCAAAAGCAGTAAGCTTTCCAATTACCACATGAACTTCAACCAATTTTAAATTACAAGTGGAGCTGAAGACAAAACAATAGTAAAATTAATTACACTTAAGGAATTTACCTGTGTATCTTCTTAACCAAAGATTTTTATGATATACCGAAAACCTCAGCCACTCACATTTTTTGGAAGTACAGGAGTGTACATAACCCTGATTATAGATGTCAGTGGCTTTGGAATGGTTTTCAAACAGTATTCTCAAGACAGTTCCTGGTTTGTCTTCATAGGAGGCAAAGCAGGCAGGACTTAAACCCCTCCCCCCATCCCCCAACCCGGTGGCAACCAAAACAGCTCTCCGTATTATCAAGTTCCATGGGGATGGTGGAGAAAGGCCAGCGGTTTCCAATGTAAGTAAACCATGCCTTCAAATAAAATTCTACCAATAGCTCAATACATAAGCTATGAGATTTATCATTTCATTCATAGACCCACCTCTCTTTCACCGAGAAATATCCATATGCAAATTTGGATCACAATATATCTTTTTTTTTAAGTCTCTGAGAACTAAAACTTATTTATGGAGAATGAAGATTCCCTGTACATGGGCGTGACTCTGAACCTCTAAGTGGAGTTAACTAATCTGTGGATGACACTACAAGGTCGGCAGTTCAAGTCTGGTTCCATGGGAGATGAAGCTGTCTGCTCCCCTGAAAGATTTAACCTGGGAAACACAAAGGGGCAGTCCTACTCTGTCCCGTATGCTTGCTCTGAGTTGAAATCAAACTCAGCAGCCTCTCCAAGACCTGCCAGATGGCCTACAGGAGAAAGATGAGTCTGTCTGCTTCCATCAGGATTTACAGCAGTAAATCTTAAGGAGCAGTTCTACTCTGTCCTACAGGGTCACTCTGAGCCGCAATCGGTTTGGTTTAGGAGGATTTTACTACATCACATATAGAAGCAAATTCCAAGAACCAATAGCAAAACTGAGAATGAGGAAAGAAAGCAGAAGCCTATAGTATAATCGCATGTCATCCCAATGATTAAACATTCGTATAACTTTTAATGGGAAGGCCTATAGAAACTCAATCACTATCCCCTGTCCATAACTGGTCTAAGATTGACACTTGGTTCTTCTTTACAAATCCAATTATCACATTCTTTCCTGGGGCTTCTATTTTCTTATAGCTAAAGGTTTGCTCATTTTTTAGATCACACTATTCACTTAAACATAAGTACAATTATTTGTACATAAGTACAAATATTCTGAACTGCCAGGGAAGCACCAACATTTTTGTTTCTCTCTTAAAAGGGGGCAGTAGACCCAATAAGTTTGGGAACCTATGACCTCGTCTTTCTTCCCAGCAGGGATTTCGTTCTTACAAGCAAACCTCAGTTACCTTTCACTGCTTGCTCCCCTCCCTCCCTCCCTCTCTCTTTCTCTCTCAGCACAGGTCCAATCCATTAGCAAAACCTGTTGGCTCTACTTTAGAAATATACCCAGAATCTGAACATTCATCATCATCTCAACCAGGATCGATCCCAATCACTATCCCACCCCTCTCAAAATTGCCCAAGCCTTGTCACCTGTCTCCATGTTTCCAGCCTTGGTCCACACTACAGGACATGGACACAGCCAGCAGTCACCCCTTGACGCATAGCACGCCAAACACACATCTCTGAGCCTCTGTCTTACACATTGCAGGTGCTCAAATGTTTGTTAAATCAGTAAATTAAACACAAACACCTAAGTACCTGATTCCAGAACACCAAACCCGCTGCCAGGGAGTCTATTCTAATTCATAAGGATCTTCGGTAGGGTTTCCGAGGCTGTCACACTGTGGTTAGCAGCCCAACACTTCCCTGACAGCAGCTCCTGGGGTCCTGCATAACCATCAAGAGTACCACATAACCAGCAAGACTTGTTTTGTTTAAGCACAAGACAAAGCAGATTAAAAAGGCCAAGAGAGTTGAAGAAGTTTCTCCCAAAAAGTTATCCCCCACAAACCCCTGTTCCTTCCCACTCCCAGCAACCCTACTGTCAATTCCCAGTCCATCTTTAGGGGAGCTGACAGCTTCATCTTTCTCTCAAGGAGTGCTGGTGGGTTTGAACCATCAACCTGGCATTTAGCAGCCCAACACCTAACCCACTTGCACCAGGGCACCTTTCCAGGATTCCCTGATCAAAAGGTAAAAAAACTCATGGTGTGTGGGATGACTTGACAGATTAGGTTAGGCAAGAAAGCTCTCTGTTGAGATAAATATGGTACCGTGCCATGACATAGTAAGAATCACTTACCCTCCACTCTCCCCACCTCCTTTCATTGTACTAGCTTAGTCAGGATCCCTACGACTACCACAACATACACTGTTAAAGACTACACTGATGTGTGTACCTCTTGCATGATTTTGTCTCTCCATGTAGTCAAAAGGCCAGGTCAGCGAAGGTGAGCAGCACTTCTCCACAGACCACTGTGCGAGGAGTCCAAGCATCCTGCTGCTCCCTCGGTCCAGAACTCCTCCCTGTCCTACCTCACCAATGCACTTGCTGAAAGTTCACCAGCCCCACAAAACTGGAGAGTGTTAGTTTAATGACTAGCATTTTTTCATCACCGTGTGCCAGGCTTTATTCTTATACTTAACTCACCTGACGCAAAAACCCCAGGAGGCAGGCACAATAACTGCTCCCCAATTTAGAGATGAAGAACAAGGACATTTTTAGAGTATTACTAAACAAGTCCAGAAACATCCTGAGTACAGATTACGACTCTATCCTCTTACATTTCCCAGGCAGGTACACCAAAAGCTACCATCAAACTCGGAAACAGTCCAGCTACTGACGCAGGAGTCACAAAATCCCCAGGCTGAAGCTAGACAACTGGTGGCCATCACTGCTCGCAGACAGCCGTGCATGAAAGAGCAGGGAAGGGCACCCACCTAGGAGTAACCCTTTGAAAGGTAGCCTTATGAGGGAATTTGCAAACATCCATGGAATATTTTTCATCATCTTTTAATTCCATTTTTCCACAAATCTTTCTGAAGGCCCATATGTGCTTCCTGGTGTGAACGTCCCATGTAAGGATGCCTACAAAACAAAAGCTAAATCAAAGTGAATTTCTACCTACCAGTTTACAGAAAATACCTGAACTAGAGGTACACTTACAGTTATCAGCCAAAGCAAAACTGAGAATTCAACAAGGCAAAGGACACAATTTCTTGATAAAATTGGTGGGAGGCGGGGGGAGCGAGCCTACTGAAGAGGCCATCAAGTTGATGAAACTTGGTATTTAAGGTTCCAAAAGTTCAGAAAGTTAGGAAAGGAGGACTGAGAACGGTAAAACACAGGAGGACGTGGGAACCGTGACAGTGTATTGAGGTGACTACAATGGAGTGGAAACAAAACCTGTACAAATTGCTGAAAGTAAAGCTGATGACCTGCTATGTAAACTTTCATCCAGTTCATTTTTTAAAAATTAACTACAGGAATGAACCTTAAAAATATCATGTTAGTGTAGCTCAGAAGCAACAAAGCCCACATGGAAGAAGCACACCAGCCTATGCAACCACGAGTTGTCGAAGGGATCAGGTGTAAGGCATCATCAGAACAAAAAATCTTACCATAGTGAATGATGGGGGGAGTGCGGAGTGGAGATCCAAAGCCCATTAGTAGGCCACTGGAGATCCCCTTGCAGAGTGGTCTCGGGGAGGAGATGAGCCAGTCAGGGTGCGATGTAACAATGATGAGAAATACAACCTTCCTCTAGTTCCTAAAGGTTTCCTCCCCGCTCCCACTACCATGACTCGAATTCTATCTTGCAAGACTGGCTAGACCAGAGGAGGTACACTGGTACAGATAGGAACTGAAAATACAGGGAATCCAGGACGGATGAGCCCTATAGGACCAGTGGTATGAGTGGCAAAACAGGGTGGGTAAAGGGAGAATGGGTAGGAAAGAGGGAACCGATTACATGGAACTGTGTGTGACCTCCTCCCTGGGGGACAGACAATCAAAAAGTGGATGAAGGGAGACGTCGGACAGGGCAAGATATGACAAAATAACCATTTATAAACTATCAAGGGCTCATGCGGGAGGGGGGAGGGAGGGGAAAAATGAGGACCTAATGTCGGGGGTTTAAATGGAGAGAAAATGTTTTGAGAAACGATGTACAAATGCGCTTTACACAATTGATGTGTGTATGGATTGGGATAACAGTTGTATGAGCCCCAAATAAAATGATTTTTTTTAAAGAAAAAAAAAAATATCATGTTAGTTAAAAAATAATAAGCTAGTCCAAAGGGTCACATATTCTGTGATTACATTTACATGGAATATCTAGAATAAGCAAACCTATAGAAATTATAGGACATAGGTGAGTGGTTAGCTAGGGTTGGGGAGAATACTGGGAGGTGATGAGGAGTTAACTGCTAATGGGTATAAAGTTCCTTTGTGTGATCAGTGATAAAATGTTCTACATTTATATCCGATGCTGTGAATATACTAACCACCGCTGAATGGCAACAACAAAAGGGGGCTCTTTATAGATTGCTAACAAAACAGAGGACAAGCAGCTGACCGGGTCAACTGACTCCCCATACATGCACACCAGTAAATGGCTCTTTCCGTACAACATCCTGGGCAAAGGCCTCACCCCCACCCCACTAAGCTCACTACCACTGAGCTGTGCCTGACCTCAAATCAAACCCACTATATTGACTCAATTTAGACTCAAAGTGACCTATAAGGACAGAGTAGGTCGGTGTTTCTTATCTACCAAGTCTGACTCAAATTGATACTAAATGAGTTGTAAGCATGATTCCCACATAACACATGTGAACACAATTTGAGAATAAGGCTGATATCTGTGATTTTACCCAACTCTCCGCCCATCTGAGAGAATCCAGAATCTCCCCAGCAGCTGAAACGTAACACAGCTAAGGCCTTCTCACCACAATGAGAATGTTGTCAAAATATTTCATTTCTAAGCTCTCCCCTACACCGCTCCTACTGAAGTCTCCCCAGACTGGTTCAGGGGTCCTTCATCAGGAGCATCAACATCACGCGCCAATCCTAATAGCATGAATAATGGCACTATCTGTTATCCAAATCCACAGTGCCCTGGGCTGAAAGTTGATCCAGGTAATAAGGCATGGCTTCCAATCTAGGAAAACACGCAGACTAATAACCTTCATTCCTCTGTTCTCAGAGAGCACCTAGTATCCTCTTCGTTCCCAAGCATCATGGATAACATAAATGAACTTCATTTATGAAGTTCAATGGGTTCATATCAAGGTAGACTGACATATGATTAAAACAATCATTCAGATATTCAAAGAAAAAATGAGTGGCACTGCTAAATCTTACTCCAGTCATTGTGTGATCCTCTGAAGTCTCTATACACCAACTAGTTTAAATGGGTATAAATAAATAAAACTACAAGAAGTTACTTTTAAAAATCGAACATGTTTGCTATTTAGTAAGTAGCTACAAATGCTATTGTAAATCCAAGGTAGGTTTTGTCAACATGTGAGCAATCACGTCTAAATTCTATATGCTGAGGATGTTTAACGACATTTAAATTCAATTAACAAAAAACATCACACTGCAGCCCGAGTCAATTCCAACTCAAAGCAACCAAAATAGCACAAGAGTAGAACTGACCCTTTGGGTTTCCAGATTGTAAATCTGTAAGGGAGCAGAAAGTCTCATCTTTCTCCCTAAATTCAACTAGCTAAATCAACATTTAAAAATAGTGACCCATAGATCACATCTGGTCCACAGGTATACTTGATACTGAAATGTCTTTTTTAATAGTTGCCAACAACATATCATTTTTCTTTAAAAATCATTTTGGGGTGATGAGTAGAAAAGAGCTGGCAAATCCAGTCCCAAGCTGCCCGTGGCAATAAGGTGAAGGGGAGTGCTAAGTGACAGCAACACCCCACACCCACCCCTGACCAAGATCTTCAGTTTCCTGAGGTCCCCCCCCAACACACTTCAGTTTGAATTCAAACATTCTGAATACAGTAAAGTACCCTAAGACCCAAGACAACCATTCAGACTTACCCAGCTTTGGAAAAAGGCCATCCTTAAAGATTTGCAAAATGTTTACTAAATAATTAAACTAAGTTATCCCCCACAACTGCCTTAGATCATCTGACAATCAAGACCCAAACTCACTGCTGCCAGTTACTCAAAAGCTGCCACTGAGCGGACGCTGACCCCCAGCGAGCCTGGAGCAGAGGGCAGACGCGGCCTGTGGGTTTCTGAGACTGTAACTCTCCATGGCAGTATAAAGTCCCATCTTCTTTCACGGAATGGCTGGTTCTAAACCGGTGACCTGTGGCTCACCGTCCAACTGGAAACCACTATGCCAGCAGTTTAACAGCCTACCTAAAATACCTCTTTTATTTAAGTTGCCCCCATTCATTTGCCCAAGGTCACAATTTTTGTTTTTAATCAATGACATCTTAGAAGCCCATGTCATCAACGTTATCTTTCTCACTCCCATTTCACAGGTGAGGAATTAAGAATCCAAAAAGGCAGACTTGTTCAAATTCCCTAGGTAATAGGTGTCAGGAACCAAATCCAAGCCTGTCTACTTCTAAAGAACCACGGCCAAGTCTTCGTTATTCTGCCATAACACAACCAGTCTCCAGTAAGGTTATCTCATTCTTCCATGCATTTAGGAAACAAAACTCTTGAGTACTTACTACAGCAAAAGTCTTCACACTCCTAATGAGCATATGCAAAAGAAGGGTTAGCAATCAGTCATACGGTGAACATTAAAAGTTTGGCACATTTCTGTACATCCACCTGCCAATTTTAATATGGAGCCAAATTGCTCGAGGAATGGATCCGAACCCCATCGGTAACTATATCACCTACAATTCAGTTTCAATCTCCTAGTGGAAAACTGCAGGAGACCCCAACAAAGCAGTCTCAATACAGCTTCCTCTTGGAGTACCGCATCTTTCCAAACGTGAAGTCACTGCAGTTACAGCACACTCACTCTGCTGCAACTCTGGGAGGGGCTCCCCCAGATCAAGTGCTTCCACAGCCTTCTACTTGACTGTCACAGGGAAGAAGTTTGCACTCATGCATTCCATTGGAGTAACTACTACCAAAGCATCACTATCTGCCACGAAATTGTCTTGGAAGTCATCACAACCTCTGGAAAGCAAACAACTTCCCAGGGTTAGCACAGTGCAGATGACACAGCAGCCGACTAGCACAAGAGGTCAGCATGCTGATAGAGCACATCAATGAACTGTCTGAGAAAGATAAAGAGAGGCAGCAAAGTAAGCATCTATCACAAGTGCAAAGCTCCGCAGGGAACAAAAATGAAGACTTAAAACCCTCAAAATCTGTATGACAGGAAGAGATACAACCCATTCACCAATTAACTCTAATGCAAGGGCGATCCAGGTGATGAGCAGAAAAACACCAAACAAGTTCAACGCAAGATTTTACAGTTGGCATGTTTAATACACTCAAGGTTTTAGAATGAACCAGAAGCAGGTTTTCAGTAAAGGGATGTGATCATGTGCAGAGAGAAGGCATTCCAAGCAGAAATTGAGGGAAACACAGGGAAAGGATCTGCGGCTTTGTAAACTTGGCACAAAGGACAGAGCATGAAAGAACTAAAGCAGGTGGTTGGAAAACCAGGTTGGTTGGAGTCGACCGAGAGAAGACTTTGAATGGCAGGTTTCATTCAGAAAGTACCTTAGGTAAGTGGTAATTGGGCCACAGTGTGGATGCAATCAGCTAGTATGGAAATGCAATGAATAGCTCAGAAAGTCACCACTATACCATGCTATGTACTAGTTCCTTGTAAAAAATGCATTTCCCTACCATTCCTTTCATTCAAGTATCTTAAAAGACTTTCGACTTTTATCTCCAGTAATCGCACCTAAGGGCATTACTATCCACTCCTCAGCAGTACACTGAACCTGCAAGGGTCCAAGGATGAAACGGTGAGCAGTCAGTTTGGGATGAGAAAAAGACTCCATGGGACGGAGATTACAGTAACAGAGAGAATAGGTGTGTTCACTCTCAGCTAACAGAAGACGGAGAAGTCGCAAACAGAAATACATTAGCCAAGCTTAAGGGTCAGCAGGCCACGTCATTTCAAGGAGGGCTCTACTTGCAGAGTGAAAATGCCAGGTCAGCTTGGTTTACACACACACACACACACACACACACACACACACACACAGCACGTGCTTGCAGAGATCAAAGAAGAAGCTCTAACAAGGGGAAAAGAGGAATCAAAATTAAAAAACAGCACTCTAAGTCAAGCTGGTTTACACACACACACACACACACACACACACACACACACACAGCACGTGCATGCAGAGATCAAAGAAGAAGCTCTAACAAGGGGAAAAGAGGAATCAAAATTAAAAAACAGCACTCTAAGTCAAGCAAACACTGACCCTACAGAAGT